AAAAAAAAAATCCATCTTGTATGCTAGGATAAAGTTACTCAACCTAAAGGAGCTGGAGGTCTTGGAATTAAAAGCGCCAAGGAAGCCAACATTGTTGCCATGACCAAACTCAATTGGCGCTTGCATAAGGATAAGGACAAACTCTAGACCACTCTTTTTAGAAATAAATATAGTATTGCTGACCCTCAATATTCTTATTCTTTTTCAGGTTCTCCTACTTGGAAAGCAATTGGGAAAGGTCATAGTTTATTTTGTAAGGGCATCAAATGGATCCCTAGGGATGGTAAAAACATTAGTTTTTGGAAGGACTATTGGGTCGGTAACTCCCCCCTTTTTTCCATCCTTTTTGGCCCTCATCAAAGTAATTATTCTTTAATCACTGTTGCTGATTATTTTCATGCAGGACCTGATGGTCCTAAGCTTATTGGATATCAGCTACCTGAAGAAATTACTATATCTATTACTTCTATACCTCTCTCAATTTATCAAAGCAGAGATGATACTTTTGCTTGGAAAGATTCTTCTAATGGGAAGTTTTCTGCATCATCAGCTTATGCTATATGTAAAAATATTCCCCATGAAGTTGTTAAGAAATACAATTGGATTTGGAGATCACCCACGATCCCAAAGATCCAATATTTTCTCTGGCTTTTATCCCACCAAAGGCTTAAATGCTTTGATTTGCTTTTTAAATTGGGGATCAATACCACTGCCATGTGCCCCTATTGCCAACATCAACATGAAGCTGTTGAGCACATCTTGCATTCTTGCCCTTTATCTCAAGCCATTCTTTCTAACTTGCTACTAGATATATTCTCCCCACAACAACAAATGCTAAACTTTGTGGATTGGTTGCAGTTTAATATCAAATGTTCGATGCAAACGAACATATTGAATCTCCCTTGGAACATTATCTTTTGTTTTGCTTTATGGGGAATATGGCTGCACAGAAATCAGCAAATTTATAAGGACAAGCCGTACCCTATTTCAACTGCTCAACAAATGATTAAAGACAGAGCTGTTGAGTATTGGAGCACTAAACCTCCATCCACTGTTAAAGTGCATGGTACAACATTTTTCAAATGGTACAAACCTCCCCACCCCTTTCTTAAACTAAACACGGACGGGTCTGCAATAGGGAATCCTGGATAGACTTCTACTGGTGGTTTATTTAGGGATAAATGGGGAAATTGGGTTATGGGTTATACTAGCAAGATTGGATGGTCGTCTATTTTGGTGGCTGAGCTATGGGCAATTAGGAATGGTCTCAGACTTGCTATTGATAGAAATATATCTCATTTAATTGTGGAGTCTGATTCTGCTACTGCAATTTCTATATTATCTGAAAGACCCCTATGAGTCTCATCCCCTTAGTACTCTTATTCTTGACTATAGGGACATGTTACAGCAAATACCTCATGTTAAGGTTGTCCACGTGGTACGGGAAGCAAGCATGGCAGCGGATGCCATGGCGAAAGTGGGACACAACGTTTTGGAGGATTTTGTTATTTTTGATTGTATCCCTCATTCGGTCAAATATGCATGTATGGCTGATATTTTGGGAATTGAATTTCCCAGAACCGCTTGATGTACTCATGCTTGTTATGTTATAATATTTCTCTTTACTACCAAAAAAACAAAAAAACCAATAGACTTGACTGGATTCTGGGAGAAATCCCATTCAGAATCTTCGGCCTCAGAAAATATTAATCTGGTCACATACCCGGCCCCTAGTTCATTTACTATATATAGCA